GAATCCCCCTTTCCGGTCATCTTTAAAAAAAAAAAAAAAAAAAAAAAGTTGTAAGAACACACCTTAAAATTTCATACCAAGGCTAATTATTACCTTGTTCTTAGATTTTTTTTTTTTTTTTGGTTTTGCTGGCTGGCCAGTAAGTGGCTATGAACACTTAACCTTGGTGTTATCAGCACCATCCTCTAAGCAAGTGAGCTGACCGGCCAGCCCTTGTTTTTAGATCTTAACAAGCCAAGACATATACAGGTTATAAGAAAATCCGAGTGATTAAGTTTTCACCAACATTTTCTTGGAGGGAGAGGAGATTTAGAAATCAGTGAGCATGAGAGACCTCTCTCCCTAATAGAGAAGGACACTCCACATGATAACCATGCTTTGCAGGATAATTGTCTTGCCCCAGTTCAAGGCTCCCCGAAAGAGATCCAGTCTGAGTTAGAATCCAGGCAAGCCAGATACCTGAATAGGCAAGTTCAATAAAGGTGTATGTAATTTCAAAGATTAGGCTGATTATAGCTTTAAAAAATACTTGCTGGGGACATATTAAATGAAAGCTTACATCTGATCACAATCCAAGAACGTAGAGACAAAGGATATTTGGAAATATTAAGAAAGAGAGCTTGCTTCTGGGTAGGTTTTAGGACAGATTATCANAGGCAAGTTCAATAAAGGTGTATGTAATTTCAAAGATTAGGCTGATTATAGCTTTAAAAAATACTTGCTGGGGACATATTAAATGAAAGCTTACATCTGATCACAATCCAAGAACGTAGAGACAAAGGATATTTGGAAATATTAAGAAAGAGAGCTTGCTTCTGGGTAGGTTTTAGGACAGATTATCAGTAAACTGGTAGCTCGGTCACATGACAGCTGTAAGGATACCACAGTCCCATTTAATGTTATCAATGATCACTTATTATTATTGGAGAGTAACCATTAAGTGGCTTCTTCTACCCCCAACAGCCCAGGTACAAAAGGAGAAACTCTGTGAGTACTTGAAGCAGGACAGTGTGTGTGAGAGACAGAGAGAATCTGTGTGTGTATCTCCTCATAGCATCCCTTAAAGCATAAGGATGCTCTTAAGCTATCTAAAATGGAAGACCTAGCTGGTAAAAGAGATAGGAAAGTGGCCACTGCCTGCCCCGGGCTGGACCTTGGTGCTAGTTAGCAGATTATGGATGCTAAGGTCATATGATGACATTTCTCATAAAGGTCAGGATTGCTGGTTGTGCCAACAGTCTACATGGAAGCCTCCTTTAGACTGTTTCTTTCTTGAAGTGGTTTCTTCCCTGATTCCATTTAAAAGGGCCCAGGAAATAAAGAAAGGAGGCCACCAGTTGTTTTCCATGGAAGCAAACATACCACCAATGCAATTGCCGAGCTTCTATTTTCTTCTGGTAACACAGAGAAATCACTCCTAGGCCAAATACATGGTGCTGGCACACACTCAAGTCTCCTCAGCTAGATGGCATATGTGGGATTTAGGTGCATCTTAAGTGCAACTTGAAGACCTTTCTCATGGGTACTGACCTTATGATCCCCCGTCAGGCAGTCTATTTCAACCTAGGAACAGGCAGCTCTATAAACATAGTATTCGAAAGGACGGCCTTCACCTTTCTCCCAGACCATGTTTAACTCGTAACCCCTAAAGGAAACATAATTTTTGAGGAGAGTTGTTAAGTGACCAAGTCCCCCAGTTGCAGACCATGATGATGAAACAGACGCATAAGGAGCTGTGCAAACAGAGGAATACACTTGTACAATGATGTGCTAGCACATAATGCTTGCTCAATAAATCTGTCGAATACATCAATATTTAGTTCCTTCTCATTCAACTTGCTTTGTCTGATGAAAGACCCAATTACTCCTGACCTATGACTCCTTACTCCTGGAAGTTAACTGCTGACTTTATGATTATCCATCCTATCAATTTTGGCTAATATTGCATCATACAGTCCTATCATCATCAGATTTGGGGAATTCAACTTGCATTTTACAACACACACTATTTCAAAGGTGCATGCATGTCTGCTTCCTCTATCTTTCTGGCTCCAGAATTCAACCTTCTGTGTGAGCAATCAGTCCCTTGGTTCTCATTCTTTGCTATTACTCTGGTCTCTCACCATCAGGCCTCATGGCTGCTCTGTTCCCAACTCTTCTTTAAGGACATTGGGTGAATGTTGATGGTAGAAGAGGAGTATAGGCCAGCAGCTTGCCAGGACTCTCTACCCTCTCTCCTCTGCTCCCTCAGACTGGAGGTGCCCACTAAAAATGTTCCCAATGACTACTCCTGATAGACAGTCAGTGCCCCAGAGCTTCATGACAACTGGCAAAGTGGCAAAACCAGGTAAGACTCTATAACACCCTGCTCTCTGAGGGCTGTCATTCTTCATTAAAATAATCTGATAAACTGTTTTCCAAATTACGTGAGTTCCTATTCTTCCATATCTTGATGACTCGTGGCTATTGTCAAATTTCTTTTTTGCCAATCCGGACGGTGTGAAATGGTGCCTTTCTTATTGCAAGCTTTTTGTTGTTTTTTTTAAAGATGACTGGTAAGGGGATCTTAACCCTTGGTGTTGTCAGCACCACGCTCACCCAGTGAGCGAACCGGCCATCCCTAGATGGGATCCGAACCCAGGGCCTTGGTGTTATCAGCACCACACTCTCCTGAGTGAGCCATGGGCTGGCCCTTCTTATTGCAAGTTTAATTTGCATTCCCCTACTTCTGTTTCTTAACTTAAGCGATAGATTGTATTTTCAACAAAAAGTCAACCGCTGCTGTGGATTTCAAGCATGAACCCCCAAAGAGCCTTATAACACCAGCTGGTATGACTGAATCATCAATTGAGCTGAATTTTATTTGTGTGTGTTTTTTTTCCCAGCAAAAGTCTTCCTGGACACTTGTATTAACTAGCAACTAAATGTACTTTATAACAGTGGGTTAATAGAAGATACAAAATCAACTTTTACCAAAATTGCAAACAAAACTGAAACTCTTCCTCAAGATACCATTGCATTTTCCACAGCATGCAACAGAAAGGACTACTTGCCTGAAGTATCCAGTAGCTGAAAGACTAATGCTTTCATCAAAAGCAGTCTGTGCCTGTACAGGAAGAGCATGACAGGATGCAATCAGGATTCCTAAAGAAAGAATCACTCAAGATTTCAACTTTAATTTTACTATGTGTTAAATAAAGCTATCAGGAGTAATAACTAAGAAAGACCAAGATTCATTTATTCCTTTCAGCTTTCTCCATCTCCACTGGCATCTGTGGTTCATGGCTTTCAGTAACAGTGTTTGTGCAATCCATATAATCACAATAAATGACTGCTGTGGTATGTTACAGAGGACTAAAGTGGTCGACACATGTTCTGCTTATGAAGAAATTCACTGAGTCATCTGGAAAGAATAAGTCTATTAACAAGGGACACTTTAGAAAATAATGGTTGGTTGGATGTTTAATTTTAATATCAGGTATCCATAACAGTTTCGGTTGAAGGAAATAATTTTGCTGAATAGTACCATTTACATCAAAAGGTTTCCCAACTCTGCAGTGCACACAGTTGACTACTATACAGGAAAATGGAGGTTAGGTCCAAGTCCCCAAGTCTAAAAAAGGAGGTGGGAAAATGCAACCATGAAAAGAAAGCGGACTGAACGGCAGCATGTCGTGACAGTGGAGGACTGGCTCAGGCAGCACCGGGCAGAGGGCGGAAACAAATGTGCCCAGAAAGCATTGAAAGCTCCCATAAATAGCAATCATAAAATAAGGGCATGCTCGGGGCCGGCCCGGTGGCGCACTGCTACAGTGCGCTGCTTGGGAAGCGCGGCGACCCTCCCGCCAAGGGTTCGGATCCCACATGCAGACCGGCCGCTCACTGGCTGAGTGAGGAGCAGGGGCAACACCGAGGGTTGCGATCCCGTTGCCGGTCCCGGTCCGGTATGGGCGCGACACTGAGGGTTGCGATCCGTTGCCGGTCACGAAAAAAGAGACAAAAAGACAAATAAATAAATAAATAAATAAATAAGGGCATGCTCTACAGAATATCAGGAACCATTCCTAAGTGGGGCTCCCGAACTGTTATTTCCCCCAGACCTGTGCTTTTAACATTGCAAACTGACATTCTAGAATAGTCTGTACCACACACGCTCCCAGCTTTTATGGATATCCATTCCGTACCAGCTGGTACTTTATAACCTATTACTTTGAAAAGTTTACTAGTTGACTTTAGAATGTGTGTCTTCTTCTTCCAATTAGGTTGTAAGTAGATCAAAGGAAGCAGTTGGATATTTCCATTCCACTGAGTGCCTACCGTTGGTTGAACACATATCCAATGGCTTGGTTTCCTATTTCCAAATGAGTGCTTATATGATTTTTACTATTACAGAATCATTCTAGTATTGATTTTCTATTTTAAGAACAGTGGAATCCAAAGAAGAAGAAACAGATTTGCAGCTATTATCCAGAAAATACCTAGGTTCCATAGCATAAAACATTCATTAATTCTAGCTTAAAACAGGAGTTCTGGCAGAATAAACACCTTTTTCTCTAATAGAATTTTACCAGATGCAAGATGTAAGAGTTTCTCCACCATACTATGATAGGATTTACACATGCTGAAAGCCAAAGGGCCTCTTATTTATCATTATGCAATGGTGGTACCTTTTAAAGTGCTCTTTCTGCAGATACTTAATTCACACATACTTATCTCACTCTCTCCCATCCTTGTTTTTTTTCTAACATAAAACATAGAGAACCAGGATTCTCACCCAATCCTTCCAAGTTCCTTGAGGATTCTTGCTGATGATGGGTTCAAGGCATTTTAGAAGAGTTTGACAAGCATCCTAGGGATTATTTTCTTAATTAAAATTATAATCATAATTTTATACAAACAGCAATTTCAAAACAACATGCCATTCCACAGACTTATCTAAAAGGTCCATGGGAACCCAGAGAGGTAAGAGAGCAGCCCTGGAAGAAGGTGATGTGGAAGGTTTCATAAGGAGGTGAGTGTGTGGGTGTGGGGGGGGCTGTCAAGTGTGAACTGGTCTTAAACACAGTGGCCTCGTAAGCCACACTAGGAAGTGAGGACTTAGAAAAACTGTTGGCAAACCACTGGCCACTGTTTTCAAACATGGCAGAGTCAGATAGGTTTTGTGGGGAAGTTCACTCTGGCAGGGTGAAGCTGGGGTTGGGAGAAAGAAGCCTCGCAATGGCCCTGGCAAGAGCTGGGAGTCTGACTCGAAGCCATATTCACGTAACATGGAAGTGGAAAGACATAGAGACATTTCTGAGTAGAATTGCAAGGACTTGCTGACCAGTGAGATGTCAGGTGTGAGGGAGAAAAGAGGTGGCATTTCCAGCACAGGAGAGCCAGTGGATGCTATACCACCAACTGAGCCCGAGACTGGGGGAAGGAGATAAGGGATGAATTAACTCTCAATATTTTCTGAGCTCCACCCATGTATTTTGCCCTGACAGGGTTAATGATTTGGATACCATCACAGTAATTTTTACCTTTACTGCCAACCTGTTGAAATCCGCTACCACAGACCCTCCTGAGACATTTGTATTAGGGACAGTTTCCGTGCTTGTTCCATGCAGGTGGATGTTTGACATTGGCATCCTTAATTCATGGCTGACCACCTGGGTTTTAGAAGAGTTTCTTTTCAAATACTTTGATTAGTCATTGACCTGTGCACAGCACAGGTGGTGTGGGGCCCTCATATGGACAACCGGGACAAAGGAGCAGAACCACAAATTCTTCTAGCCACAAAAGTTCCTCTTTTCTAAAAACCCTATAGCTAGACTGTACCCCAAGCCGTGAACACACTCTCTTTTTTTCTGACTTTCTCGTGTGCAATAGCATCAGGAAGAGGAGGTGAGGCCCCAAGACACGGCAGGGAGAAATGCTTCATATCATTATAATCATAACATCAACACCTTTGAGGCCTCTTCTACCACTACATACTGCAAAATGCTAGCAAAGCCAACCTTATTGGTGATAGGAGATAGCCATTTCCTATTCACACTTCTGAAGAAGCTCCAGGAAAAGAGTGCTTCTCATGAGAAAGGACAATGGTCCTGAAAAAGCAGCAACATGAACACATGGGTCACAGAAGGAGAGGGTGCCGGGGCCGCGTGCCAACACAAGCACTCAGCTGGCTGCTTTATTATTCCTTTATTTTTAGTGTTGGAGAGCAAAATCATATTGCTAACTTTAACTGATCGAAAATTCTCCTCTTTCCTGCCAGCAAGACGGATTAATAAAGTTTGTGCACAACTTCTACAAGGTCACAGCATAGAGAGCCCTTCCACAATGGTTGGCTCTCAGAAGATCATCTACACGGAGTGCACAGGCTTAGAATATAAAGGTCTCTGATGGCTTGATAAGGAAAACATTGAAATCTCACCCCCCAAATATTCTCATGTGACTGATACCATGAAAGAAAATACATATTCAACATTGTTACAATCAGAAAAATGTAAATCAAAGCAAAAATGATATACTTTCATTCACCTATCAAATTATCTTAAATGTTTCAACAATTCATAACATTCAGTGTTGGTTAGGGGTATAATGAGATGGACACTTTCTGGAAAACAATTTGGTAATATAGCATGCATTAAACAATTTGAAATACACTCTGTGACCCACTAATCCCACATCTGGGAATCTGTGTTAAGAAAACAATCATCAATATGATCACAGGCTAATGTACAAAAATATTCTTCTAAGTGTTCAACGGTTAGGGGATGGTTAAATAAATTATACATATATCCACATGCAACCATTTAGAATCATGATTGTAAAGAACTCTCAATGATAGGAGGCAGTGCTCATTCTACATTAGGATAGGTGAGAAAAACAGGATACAAAATTACATAAATAGGATGTTAGCAATTTTCCGAAAAAGAAAAAAAAGACAAAATGGGAAGACCCCAGGAAAGTGATGATTGCTGAGTGGTGGAACTGTGTAGGATCTTTTTGTTTGTTTGTTTCATTTTTCTGCCTCTTCCAAATGTTTTATAATTGATAATGACTATTATGATTACTAATTGATTACTATTATGATTAGCAAAATAGAAGCAGTAGCTTAAAATTTATCTAAAATAAGTGAGCCAAAATAAAACTGTAAAGTTTGGGTAGAAAATATCAAATGTGATTTATATTATCAATTGTTCAGAGCCCTTAATATAAAAAGGTCAAGAAATAATGCCATACATCACAATTTACACTTTTTTTATTGCTCAGCAAACATTCAAAAAAGACAACTCAATTGTTAAAATATCTGCAGCAAATGTACATGCAACCTTTTGGAGCAATAAAACTGGAGACTCTTCTGCCACATTCTTTTAGGAGGTTCAGTTACAAAATTGGCTTGTTTACCCAGTTTCTGCTAACAGCTTAACAGCTTAAGCTGTCAAAGCTAAAGTGTCCTATCCTTTATTTTGGAAGAAAAAATATACATTCATAGTTTCTCTCTCATGAACACGTTTACCAGCACACACCCAACTTAATCCCGTTATTTGCATCCTTACCTGAATCATTTTAGTGTGGACGCCCTGCCCCATCTCAATTCCACCGTGTGTGACTAGCACAGAGCCATCTAGATAAACGTGAACCAGGGCGGCAGCCTAAGCAGAAAGGACAAAAACAATTTCCATGATGTTTTTGACTGGTATCATCACATATCATGTCAATTAAGACATTTTCCTTAGAAAAGATCCCCTCCTTTCCATCCCCCAGCCTCTGCCAAAAACATACACGGACACTTTTCCCATTGCCCCGAGAACGCTGAGCAGAGCTGGGGCAGTGCTGGGGCAAGCCCTGCCTCGTGGCCACCCCACAAGAGGCCACATAGTCACTGGGTAGCTTTGAGTCTGTGGTAGGACTATGCTCCTTAGGCTACTATTTCCTAATGAGGACATCTGAGCACACTGGTACCCCCAAGGACCCTCTTCTCTCCACCCCAGGATAGAGCAACATTTTAGGGGTTTTTTGGGGGGGTTGGGGTGTGAGGGATGCTCTCCATTTTAAAATGCAAAGTCAAGTACTATACAGATAGGTTGAGGGAGAGGGAGAATAATTGTCTGTGTGTGCACATATTCCCATAGTTGTAGGTGTGCTGCAGAAAAGTAAAAATGAAAATCCAAATAAGATGAGAAGACAGACATTAACTCGTTTGCTGCAAAATGAGCTAAGCCCACTTGAAACCATCTTGGCACAGAACTACAGAGCTTTGCAGATGGAACTTTGAAGTAATCTTTTCTAACTGTCTATCTCCCCACAAGGATCCAGAAGGAACCAAACTGCAAACAGAATGAAAGACTCCTGTAATCAGGAACTCCAGACTCTAAACTAAACATGTTTTACAATTAAGAAGAATGTGCCTTCTTCCAAGTTGGCCTGTGCTTAACTAGTAAGTATGGAGATATCCCAGGGGACTGTAGGAAACAAGGATGGTTTCATCACTTTGAGTCTCCAGTGTAAGGGCAAAATAAACAGCATATGGTCCTAGAGAAAATACCTCTAAATGGTTCCATTGTGGTCCAGGAAGACCTGCAAGGCAATCTTTGCAGCTGTTCACGGACGTTGTCTGGGCCAGTCGGAGCTCACTCAAAGCTCTGTCAGCTAGGTTTCTTAATATCTAAGTTTCTATGCAGAGTGGCATAATAATCTAGGATTTGTAAAGGCAGGGTCTTCATAAAATTCTGGTAACAAGCTAATTTCCACTTAATGAACCTAAAATTTTAGTAAGCCTTTATCACTCACTTGGATTACTGGTAAGCAACCCTGGCCATAAGTGAAAGTTAATGGAACTGAATGCCAATCACCAGATAAACCCAAGGGAAGGAATGCATTCCTGAATCAATTCTCTGCCCACCAGAAGGACCTTCACAGCCACCTGTGTGCTGTGGACCACACTTACAGAACTGTGTCTTTATTGGTATCCAAAGGTTCACACTACCCCAGCGAATGACAACCAGAAGCCTCTGTTGTTCAAATAAGACACTTTTGGCAGTGAAAATGGGCTACATTCACCTGGACAGTAGGTGTAAACTAGGAATACATTGGCAAAGGGGGGACAATCAGGGTACCCTTTCTCTGAGGATAAAGGCACATACACATTCACTGCCCAAGGGTGAGTCTTAGAATCTTGAGGAAGACACAGTAGCCATAACAATCATGCCCAGGGGGCTTGGGAGGACAAAACAGAGTATGTCTTACTATTGACAAATCACTCCTGGAAACACTGTCTTATGCTCCTGGCCATTTATTCTCAAAATTAAAGATAAGAAGTGGCATCCTCTATGGAGAGCCCAGAGCTGGCTGCCCTGGATTGTGTATCAGATGCCAGGTGATGCCAGCTGTAGCGGTGGCTCCTGGGCTCCATCCTGTGGCACTTCGTTATGCTCTGCCAGAATGTGAACCCCCTAAAAGTAAGGGTTATGTCCTAAGACACCCTTGGAATGAAACATAGTGTCTCATGTGTGGTAGGTGCTCAGTCAATGTCTGATAAATGAATTTGCAACAACATAGACATTTCGATCTGTCTCTTAAGCTTACAGACTGTACTTGGCCTCCTTGGCTGTGCAGAATGTGGGCGTCATTGTACTTGGACTTGGCATATGTGATTGAGTTAAAATTATGGTGGATCATGCATTTCCTATATTGTGTGATCCTGCTGGTGACAGCACTCTCCCTGCACAAGTCCAGGGCAGCATTTCTATCAGAGACCCCTGAGTAATTTTTTCCCTGTGGGGCTGCAATCTCCTCCGGCCATTTAAAATCTCAAATTTGGTTCAGTTAAGTGGCACCACCGGATGGTTCATTGTTAGCATCACAAAAGATAATTCTGCAAAGCTTCATCTACAAAATCAGCACAACTGGAGCATTGGAACAGATGGTTCTCCAATATAAATAAAGGACTTAGTCGGCGAAATTTAAATCTTCAAGCAACAACTACTTGTATTGGTGGGAAGTTAGCTTTAATCCCACAGATTCCCAAAATGTCTCAGTCATTCAAACATCTGCCTTCCTACTCGGCTTGGTGCCGTAGTAAGGCACTAGAAACAGAGGCTAATGAGATACTGTCTGTGCCCTTCAGTATTCAAAGTCTGGGAATTACGTGTAATGTAGGTGTGGGACTTCTGACCCCTCAGCTGTTGAGCAGGGGCTGCTTCTTTGCAAGGAGGCAGCATGGGAGGATGAAGACCTGGGGGACCTGCAGTCAGGCAGTGATGAGGTCAAATCCTTGTCCTGCCACTCACTAGCTGGATGTCCTTGAGCAAGAGCGTGCATCTCTATGGGCTTCAGTTTCCCCTTCTATAAAATAGAGAGAATCACACCCCCAACAGACCCCAGACAGGGGTTAACGAAGTATATCACAAATTCCCAGCCCCAGGCCTTACACAGAGAAGGCACTCAAATATTCTTTCTAGTTCCTTCCTCTATTTGGTTTGCTTTAGAATAGAGTCTTTCAGCGCATGCCTTCCAGGAAGCAGCTTGACTGATCTCAAACTCCCTGATTCTGCCCTAAGCAAATATTTTAAGCACAGAAGCTGGTGAGTATCCCAGGCAGGGGCTCAGCCTTTGGAAATGAATTTGTTCCACTGGCTGTGGTCTAGTTTCTTCTCACCTGAGCTCAATCCTGTCTCAGGTTCCCCTCAAGAGGTGTTTTGGGGAGGCAGCTTGGGCAACTGAGAACGCACAGCTTCAGGAGCTGCTCAGACTTGAGTCCCAGCCCTGGCCCCGCCTCTAGCAGCTGTGGGACTTTGGGCAAGTTATTTAAACTCTCTGAGCCTCAGTTTTCTCATTGCTAAAATGAGGATACAGATCTTATAGGTTGTCCTGTGGGTTGAATGAGATAAAGTCTAAAAGGGCTTATAATATAGTAGGTGCTCAGTAATTATCATTATTTTGTATTTACTTTTTGAGAAATTTCTGATGAAGGAAATGGGACAGACCTGGTCTATGGCGGAGGCAGCCGTTAAACACAAGCAGTCTGCCCTGTCTATCCACAGCCTAACATGCGAAGAATTCCAGAGGGCCCATAAACAACGGAGATTGCTTTCCCCGATGATCCTGGCCAGTCTGTATACCAACATTCACTGCTCACAAACGCTTTTCCCAGTGGTGGCTTTTTCTCTCCCTTCCTTTTCAATAACCATGTGCTTGCCTTTGTTGCTCAGCCACGGCCACTTGACCATCTTCCTTCTCTGAGTAGACTGTGTGCAGATGACCACATGGCTCTGAGTTATTTTTTGCCATCACAAACAAGCAAGGAATAAGAAGGCTGCGATAAGATGACCGCTTGCTGTAATGCTCCTCTGAGCTACCACCTGCATATAGTCCAAGCTGTGTGAAAACCTTCTAAGGATTACACCAAAGCTCAACCAGGATAGTTGGACGAACAGATAGATACAGGAATGGGGGGGGGACCTTTCCACCACTTTTCCTGGCTTCCTCTGCTCCCTCAACCCACAACATTCACGCTGATGCTCCTCTCACAGCTCCCCGCCCCCCACATTTATCCCTATTCTGTCGTCACTCAATGCACTTGCTCTGTTTTCTTCACAGCTCAGCCAAAGGTATGAATTCTGCAAAGGGCAGTGACAATAATTGTGAAGGCTCTGCTGGCTTATCTGCATATGCACGTACACATCAATGTAAGAGCACAGATAAGAGGGGTCCCCATCACTGCCACACTAGAATGGAGCAGTCATTCACTGCTATTAGGGGTAAGTTTCACTCAAGAATTAAGAGGTGGAAACAGAAAGTGGGATTTAGCAACCAAGCAAGGGGGTTTACTTAATCAATTAATGAAATTAAACTTCAAGAGCAGGTTTCCAATCCTCTCCTTCATACTTTCAACAGTGACAAGGTGAACAAATTCCTGAGATTGTGTTTAAAAACCTATTTTTAAATTATTTACTTTTCTGGGTTTAGTCTGCCCCAACTCACCCAAAAGGAGAGGGGCACCCGCACACCTTGCAGCCTCCCATTTCTATGTCATGGGCCAGCAACACAGAATCACAGCAATTGGAAGAGGAGTCTTGGGGGTCATTGGTCCCACCCTCGTATTTTATACATGGGCAATCAGGCCCAGAGCAGTTACTCAGCTGCTTAATGCCAGGGCCAGAAGTAAACCTCAGGTCTCCCAATTTCCCTGGCAAGAATGTTTTTCACCAACCGTGTGGCTGCGGGCAGAGGAGCTCTTGTCTCCTCTGGAGTAAAAGTAGCTTGATTAAGCACAACTTTGCTGAAGCTACAGTTGGACATTGCAACCATATGGCTACTCCAACTTGATGAAAAACTTCCTCAACACCTTTTGTTTCACTGGGGCTGCTGGCAGGTGGCAAGCCCACACGTGTTTGGAGAACTGACCTGACAAGCAGAAACCGAGCTAAGCCTGACAGCATACTTCAGGGGGACCATGGCCAGCCCCTTCTTCTTCTAGTAGTTCTCCATGTTGAATTTTTCCATGGCCGCTTTCCTCAGGGAGTAGGAAGACGTGGCCATACATTCCCTCCAACAAGGGATCAGGTTCTTGGCATTAATCTCTTGTTTGTAGTGCGTTTCATCAATTTCCTTGTACATGTTCATCATTTGGACCTATGAAAGAAAAGGAGAGTAAATAAGGTGGGGAAGAGAGAGCCCAGCAGACACAGTCTCATCGATCCACTGCCCTAGTCAGATTCTGCGCATCCGATAAGGTCCGAGCCAAGTTCTACTTAGTCCTTGTTGAAGCATTTCCCGACGCACAGCGTCCCTCTCTTCCCCTACTCGGAGTCTCTATCAAATATGTTAGCACTTACTCATAGGTTTTCTATGCTGCTCTTGTGCAAGGTCAAAACAAGGACTTCTTCTCTCCATATATTCCTAGATAACTGAGCACAGCACGGGTACAGTGTGGACTCTTAATTGTAGCTTTTGTGAACAACTGTTGTAAGGTAATCCAGGCTACATGATTTGGATTATTCAGATGCTATGGCAACATAAGACCACTCATCTCCAAAACAGGCAAACATGAACATTTGTTTAAATATAACCAAAATCTAGGATGAAGATAACATGAAAGGATCCTATCCCAGGACACTGGGTACAACTCTCCTGTATGCCCAGAATTGGCAACCCCAGCTGAAGACCAAAGGAGCCAAATGCCTCACATTCTCAGTTGAGAAGACTCAGCAGTTGTGGCCAGCCTTCTCCCTAAGCTGACAGGGGCCATTACAGACACACACCCTCCCGAGGACCCTAAAAAATTCTCAGATCATTATAAGAGTTAAGACCGGAACTTAGTGAGAAATACCATTTGGGGGAAAGCAGTGTTTTTAAGAGGCTATTCTCTCCTCCAGTGTCGCTGGGGATGAAGGGAGGTCTTTGTGTGACCCTCTTTCCTGCTGCCACCAAGTGTTACAGAACATTAAGGAGAGAGTCTGTAGTAAGATGGCCTGGAAGAGAGGGGCAAGGACCCCCACAAGTTCAAGAGACATAAAGAAGGTGGCTCCTGCCTATGGCCAGAGAATATTGGGGGGAAAGAAGTAGATCAATTGGGAACTGGGGCTTTCCAAGGACTGCTGGGGCATGGGGCAAGGAGGTGTTGCCCCTGGAGGAATGATGCACGAGGCGCCAGCTGAAGGTCAGTTGGAGATTTAACTGACCCTCCCTGGGAACTGTCAATTCCTGGAAGCTGGCAGACTTGGAGCCCACAGACCACATACTTGAAAAGCGGCCACATCTAAATGAGTAAGAGGACCATAGCTCGCCAGGAGAATCACATGGGGAGAAGCTATGTGCTTTCCTTGGTCCTCGTCCTCTTCCTCCCTGCACAACATCACAGCAGAAAGGCATGGGGGAGGAGAAGGAGGTGAGACACAGCTCACCACATGTCCCCACCCTAACCCCACTACAGGATCTGGGGGTGGAAGAGGTGCCAGGAAGGGAAAGTTCTTGTTAATCAACGAAGCTGGGGCTGCAACTTGAAGGACTGAAGGAGGTCATCTGAGCAAGTGAAATGACATACTTTATGACAGCTGGCTGAGATGTTAGGGAAAGCAGGGAAAGAGGGCTTGACAGAACTTGTTGGTAGCAGTTATATCTCCAACCGATGGAAACTTCTTACTGGACAGGTGAGAATCCAATGCTCACTCCTCAATATCCTCTGTTTCCAGGATTTTTGAGAAGGAGTCTGAGTAAGACAAGGATCACTGAGCTTTGGAGTCCTAGCTCTGTATTAACTGGTTAGGTGGGTTACCTGGGACAAATCATTTACCCCCCTGGATCTCAGGCTCCTCAACCTGAATGACCTCCAAAGGCCCTCCCACTTATGAAATTCAATGTCTTTTGTGTGGGGGACTAACTGAGTATTACCTTCTCAGGGGACAAACCACACTGGGCTGCAACTTCTGTGATACAGGACTCGGTGATCGGTCCCGCCTGAGGAAAGCCAAAGCCACGCATAGCTGTGCTGGGCGGAAGGTTGTTTCTGCACGCCCGAGCCTGGCAGCGCAGGTTGGCAAACTTGTAAGTAAGTGTTGTCCATGCTCAGAAGTCCCTCTTCCATCACCTGGAGAAATCCAGAGTTAACGTGATAAGACCCAGGTTCTTCTGTACCTGTTTTAGCATCCTGAGACCCCAGACCAAAACCAGACAAAAACGGCAGCCCTCTTTACATCACATCAGACATGACAAAATATATCTATGCCCCAAATTAAATGCATTTTTGCTGTGAAATAATTTTTAAATATTTGAATAATTTTTTATTAAAATCATTTTTTATTTTTATATTTTAGAGTTAATGTACTTTTTTCCAGATTTCAAACATTTACAAAAGTCTCTGAAGTGCTCCCAGGCCCTATGCACTGGGTCTACAGAATGTAATAAGTACAATATCCTGGAAAAGAGAAAAAAAAAAATTTGGCATTGGGTCTAATGCATTGGTTCTCAACCAGGGGCTATCCCCACCCTACCACCCCACCTCCCGGGGACATCTGGCAATGTCTGTAGATATTTTTGGTTGTTAAGACTGGGGGATAGCAGTGCCACTAGCATCAACTGGGTAGAGGCCAAAGACACTATTAAGTATCGTACAATGCATAGGACAGTCCCCACAGTCCCCACAGCAAAGTTAACCAGTCCACAATGTCAACAGGGCTGAGGCTGAGAAAGTCTGATCTAATGCTTGCATCTGTGAAAAGAGCCCTAATTTGGGGAAGCATGGTGATAACACACCAGTGCAGACTTAGCCAAGATCTCTGGGCTCACTGCAGGTGCCAGTAAGTAACATGTGGCAGTTGTCTGCAATGATGGTCATTATGCTTTTATGATTAAATATCAAACTCCTGAACATTTTCTGAATTAAATCATTTTATGCAACACTCTTTCAGGAATGTGAACTTGATCCTTAAAACACTTACATGTGGTGACTCATCCAGGGAGAAGCCTCCATTGCTATAATGCTGCATTTCCAGGGCCAAGATTCTGCCATCGATGGTTCATGAATACAGCCTGGGGGAAAAGAACTGAACTTTAATACTGGTGCTGGAGGCCAAGTGTCTCTAAAGTTTACTTTGTCACTTTTGAACCCTCCATATATAGGGGAAAAGCTTCATGACATTCGATCTGGCAGTGATTTCTTGGACATAACACCAAAAGCACAGGCAACAAAAGAAAAAATAGATAAATTGGACTACATTAAAAACTGTACATCAAAGAACACAATCAACAGTAAAAAGACAGCCCACAGAACAGGAGAAAACATTTCACAACTTATCTATCTGATAAGGTGTTAATATCCAGGATATATTAGGAACTTCTGCAACTCAACCACAACAACAACAAAAAAACCTGATAAAAGTGGCTGAAGAACTTGTAGACATTTCTCCAAAGAAGATACACATATGTTGAATAAACACATGAAAAAATGCCCAACACAACTAATCATCAGGGAACAAACACAAATCAAGACCACGAGATACCTACACCTCACACCCATTAGAATGGCTACTATAAAAAACAAACAGAAAATAAGTGTTGGTGAGGATGTGGAGAAATTGCAACACGTGTGCACTGTTGGTAGGAATGCAAAATGGTGCAGCTGGTATGAAAAACAGTAGGGCAGTTCCTCAAAAAATTAAAAATACAATTACCATATGATCCAGCAATTTTACTTCAGGGTATAGACCCCAAAGAATTGAAAGCAGGGTATCAAAGCGATATTTGTACACCCATGGTCACAGCAGCATTATTCACAATAGCCAGTGGGTAGAAACAACTCAAGTGTCCATCAACAGATGAACGGGTAAACAAAACGTGGAATATACACACAATAGGATATGATTCAGCCTTAAAAATGAAGGAAATTCTGACACATGCTACAACATGGATAAAGCTTGAGGACATCATGTTAAGTGAAATAAGCCAGCCACAAAAGGACAGACACTGTATGATTCCACTGATTTGAGGTACCTTCCGTAGCCACATTCATAGAGACAGAAAGTAGAATAGTGGTTTCCAGGGGCTGGAGAAAGAGGGAATGAGGAGTTGTTTAATGGATACAAAGTTCCCGTTTTACAGCATGAAAGAGTTGTGGAGATGGGTGGTGGTGATGACAGGCAGCACAGTAATGTGAATGCACTTACTGCCACTATACTGTACACTTACAAGTGAAGATGGAAAATTTTATGTTATGGGTACTATGCCACAATTAAAAATCATAATTTTTTAAAAAAATTTTATTTTGTTGATATACAATGTGGTTGATTATAGTGGCCCATCACTGAAACCTCCCTCCCTCTTCTCTCTCCCCCCTCCAACCCAACAATGTCCTTTCTGTAAGCTTGTTCTGTCAACTTCAAGGAATTGTAATTTTTATGTCTTCTTCTCCCCCCGGTTTGTGTGTGTGTGTGTGTGTGTGTGTGTGTGTGTGTGAAATTATTTATTTATTTTTATTTTTATCTCCCACCAATAAGTGAGAACATGTGGTATTTCTCTTTCTGCACCTGACTTGTTTCACTTAATATAATTCTCTCTAGGTCCATCCATGTCATTGCAAATGGCAGTATTTCATTCTTTTTTATAGCTGAGTAGTATTCCATTGTATAAATATACCACATTTTCTGTATCCACTCATCCGATGATGGACATTTGGGCTGGTTCCAACTCTTGGCTATTGTAAAGAGTGGTGTGATGAACATTGGGAAACAGGTATACCTTCGACTTGATGATTTCCATTCCTCTGGGTATATTCCCAGCAGTGGGATAGCTGGGTCATATGGCAGATCTATCTGCAATTGTTTGAGGAACCTCCACACCTTTTTCCATAGAGGCTGCACCATTTTGCAGTCCCA